CGACGCGCACGATAGCTTCTTCAGCGCCTTGCAGTTATCGCCGATGCCGGCCATTCCAACTTCCGTCACGTCGCGGCACCCACGCAGCTTCAGGCGCGTCAGGTTCCGGCACCGGAGCGAGATCAGAATCAAAGCGTCGTCGTTTATGCTCGCGGTCTTTCGGTCGCATCGTAGCGCGAGTTTCGTGACCGAGTCGAATCGGTTAAATAGGGAAGGGACGAAGTCCAGCAATTCCGGCTGAGCGTGCAGGGAGAGCCGATGCCGCCGTTGGCCGTCGACGCGGCACCACCGGCGGCACACGAGGGAGCACCGTTTCCGATCGGTGGTGCTCAGGAAATTAAAGATTACGGCCAGGCAATCGTCGGAGAGACGCAGGGTGTTATCGGCGAAATTGGAATCGGTGTTTGGATGCAACTGAGAAATCTGGCGGCGGCTGAGGTCCGCCGTAGGCACGGCGTTGGTGGACGGTGACTGTCCCATTGAGAACGGAATGTTTATGCAGAAGCGGCGGAGAGGTATCCGAGGATTTTATTTAACTGAACGCAGCGCGTGGAATTTGAGGGTGGAGGCGCGTGTGGTACTCGCGCAAGGCCGAGATTAGCGTATGGATTCGTGCATCGGAGTCAGCCCAGGTACGTGATAATGGGCTTGCGTGTCTGGGTCATCTTGGACCTGGCCACTTATCTTTTTCACCTTAAAAAAATTAAACGTTTTCTGTTATTTTATTTTTCTGTATCTTTTATTATTATGCATATATCTTTATCTTTTCTGTGTTTACAAGCTTTGAAATTGCAATTAAATTAGGAAAGAATAAATAAATAAATAATATTTAAATGTATTTTTGGTATTTAAAAAAACTGTATTTTTTTGTTATATAAGAAACGGTGAAAGTTTTTTTAATGTGTTTTTTTTTTATTTCATTGTAAAAATAATAATAGTTGACTCAAATTAATTTGCACATTTGACGCCGCTTGAAAATAATAAATGCATTTACAATGACAAAATCCTCAATTCAAATATTCAAATCAAATTGAATTCATCTAAGTCCAACAACTTAAATAAGTTTCTAGACGTGTACAATTTGTTTGTTTTTTTGTAATCTAACGTATACAATTTAAATCACGCAATAGTTGAAAATGAACTGTTTGGGAGAGGGAGCCACTCTTTTATTTATTTTTTTTCATATGCCTTTTTTTTTTTTTCGAATTGGTAGTGTTTAATTAATTAAAAAAAATCCCAAAATTTCCTTACACACAGCCATGACATTTTCTCAACGTGTTCTAACAACCTATTTCATGTTCTCCCATATTGTCATAGTTTTGTCTTTATAAGTTTTTCATTGTTGTCTTTGTACTCATGACAGTTATTTCACCAACACCATATGAATTACAATTCAAAATTTCTGGTCAATTTTTTTTTTCAATCAAGCGCGTGGACCTTTCAAGTTATTGTTGATTTTCTCGTGATGTTTACGCATTGTGAAATGTGAGTTTTTGGCATTTTAAAAAAAAAAAAAGGAAAATGAAATAGTATCGTATGAATGGAGCTAGTATGTATGGACCACTATTAAGAGTATCCAAAATAGTTGAACCGAATTGAATAACATGTGAACTACATTAAATTAAAAAAAATGGTATGTTTAAACAAAATTGAACTAAAAATAATTTCGATAAATCGAACTGAACTATTATTTAATTTAGTTAACTATAATTCTCAAACTTTAAACTAATTTGAATAGAATTAGATTTATTTATTTTTTTTACTATAAACTGAAGTACATTATAAAATAATATCTTTTTTTATTTCAAATTAGCAATTTTCTTACTGTCCAAGTTATACTAAAAATAATTCAATTTTCTGACTAGTCCAAAAAAAAATGGGTTGGTATTTTACGACAATGGCTATTAAAGAATTTTTTTTAATAAGACTCTAATTTTTAATTATTTTACTAACCTTATTAATTATCAAATAATTTTTTAAAAATAAATATTACATGTATTTATTATTTAGTTAATGCATTTTTATAAAATAATATATTATTAAAAAATATATAATATTATTTTAATAATTTGACTGATTCAATGGTTAAATTCAACTAATATTATAGATTTTTTTATAAATAATATTATTTTATATTACTTTAAAAATAAAATTTTTGGATGATAGAGAGATAAGTTGGCATTGGCACATAAATATAAATTTGATTGCACTCAATTTTTAAGTATTTAATTAACTTGGAATTAATTGAACAACAAATTCCTCGTGAAAGTAATTGAATTTTCTGTACAAAATAAATAAATAAATATATATATATATATATATATGTATGTATGTGTGTGTGAGAATTTTTTAAAGAATAAATAATATATAATGTGAAATTATTTTACATTATTATGTAATTATAAATTAATAAATTTATTGAATTTATAATAATAATTTAAAATATATCAAAAATTATTTTTATTACATGTAGTACCATATATTTTAGAGTAGATCACTAACATAAGTAATTCACCTTACACTATAATGAGAATATGTAGTCTATATTAATCTAAAAGTAATTAATAATGATACAAGGTGAATTACTTATATATATGATCCACTACGAGAGAGAAAAACATCTTTTAATAACTTACAATCTTATAAAATATCTTTTATATTATCTGTTAATTTTGTATGTATGCATTATATGTTTGAAAAAAAATTGTAAATAAGTACGATTTGATTTAATTTATAGGGATTTTGCATTCTAGTCCAAAAAATAAAACAAATAGGCGATTTTAAAATTTTAAAAAATAAATCAAATCACTAATTTATAATTTTCCATCAATTTTTGATTTTTTAGATAAATTTACAATTTTTTATTTAGATCGATTCAATTTTAAATACCATTATTTACTATAGTATAAGACTTCTTCACAAAATAGACTTTGGTTGTTTTACGATTGGAATATTAATTCTTATACTTCTTCAATACATTCAAGTGAAAATAAGTGGTTGATATTAATTTATATTTACATCTCATCCATATTCAATAATTTAAAATTAAGATAAATTGTTTCGTATAATTAGGATTTTCTTATCTATATTCCACTTTTTTGAACACTTATTTTTTATTTCCCAAATAAAATGGTAAAATGGTGAGACACCTATAGTACTATTAGACCATTAGACACTTATTATTTCTTTATGCTTCTCTTCTGTTATTATACATTATATATAAGTAATTATATTTATATTTTTCTCTCACTTTTATTTATCTATCATTAAGTGTTAAGTAGTTTTTTTAGTGTATACAGTATTAAAAATAACTTTTTAAAATCTTATAAATTTACATTCACACTCACTTTTTTTTTCTTTCATTGTTTACATTTTGAAAAATATTTTTATAATATTATACTTTAACCAAACGTACATGATTTTCAGTTTACTCAAAAATAATATTTCTTGATAGTGTCTTTCATGAAAATATAATAATTTATTTCGAAACAAACGCTACCTAACCATTTAGATTTCATTCAGCTTTTACTATGTATACCACACGTAATTTTGATCAATTGAAGTATATAGTACGATTAAAATATAGTAAGAGAATTCATCAAAAAGTTTGTGATGTGTGTCCTCTTTTCTCTTGAGCCCTTTCCTTTCAGTCAAAGTAATGATTGAGTATCAGTATTTATTAATGTGTTAACAATTGATGAAGTAACTTTCGTGGATGAGAAAAACATGCATTGTTCGTGGTGATTGTTTCTTTAGTTACTTTTCTACTGTTATTATGCAACATCTTCAAACAGCAGCTATTGCGGCAACACGTTTGTGACTTGTGAGTGGAATGGAGATGATGCCCACTTATTGCTCTTTCATTTGCATCCAATCCAACACAGCACCATAACTTTTGAAGCCCCTTACCTTTTTAATAGAATTTTAAAAGTGAAGTGATTATTATATTTCAAAAGCTAATTTAAAACAAATTTACGTTAACAAAAATTAATACTGTGATCGGTTATAAAGAGACAAATATAATAAAAATAAAGTAGAAAGAAATACACTGACGAATAAAAACAAATAAGAAATAAAATGAAATTTAGAATGTTTGGTTTAAAAAAGAGTTTAATGGTCCTGTACAAATAATTTTATGTTATCATCCAATCATCATCTACCATAAATGATAAATTTGTTAATTTTTATAATAATTGTTTTAAAATTCATACAAATTATGATTTATGATTGATTGATAATGTAAAATTTCTTCTGCTAACAAACTTTTACCATTAAACTCTTAAAAATGAAGAGAAAAATAATATAAAGTAATTTTCATTATAAGTGGGTCAATTCAAGTCAATGATTTCTTATAATCATAATAGATTAAAATTTTATAGCTTAAACCAACTCAAAATTTTATAACTGAAATCAACTCAAATCTATCACAGGTCAAATTCGCATACAGTTTAGTTTATATTAACTGCTCTAATGAAAATATAATATTTTTTTATAAATAACTTTGAAAAATAGTGAGACACCAAAATATATATACTTATGTGTCACTATTACATTTATCATTTGAGATTTATTGTTTCGATAACAACTCTCATTACCTTATTTTGAACTTTATATTTGTTTCTAATATACGAATAATGATTGTAATTAAGTTTATTTTTGTTATATATGTTACATGAAATCTATGTGAAGGATTGATAGAAATGAAATTTCAATTCATATACTTTAGAGTATATAACAAGTCCATTTCATATGATAAAAAGTTTTGAGCCAAAAAATCTTGCTTTAATATCATTGTTAATATATTCATTTTAGTTTTATAACATGAATAAAATAATCAAAATAATAATAATTTAGTTGTTCATTATTTTCATTTATACATTAACATTTAGGTATGTGTGAATTTTGCATATAGAGAGAGAGAGAGAAGATCAGAGTATCTTCTTTATTAATGTTATAAAAAAACAATTAAAAAACAAAACGGGTTGAATGTAATGGAACATATTGGGCCAACCGGTTGGCATCCATATTAATGATGATAAACGTTATGTTAGAATTTTCCAGTACTTCATAAGTAAATGTTGTGGTTCACTAAATTAAATTAGATAATGTACCAAAAATAAATAAATTAGATATAGCATTAAAAAGATGCAGGTACAGTACAAGGATACGCACGTGGTTAGTACTTTTTCCACTCTAAAATTATCCATATGCAAATATAATGTGTATATTTTAAGAAACATTTAATATTATTTATAAATTAATATATTTAATTTAAAAAACTTGTGATATTTATTATATAATTAGTTGTAGAATAGGGTATGATTATTAAATAATGCATCTATATAAATAATTAATAAAACTTAAAATTTTTAAAAAGTATTAATAATAATACTTGTTTTTGTTTTGAATCGATTATAGAGGCAAGATCTCATTTGAAACACAATATCAAATACGTTAAGAATTCAGTGTCGGTAGTTTTTTATAATTTGTATGAAAACAAAGTTTCATAATTATTAAATAAAAATAATTTTTGTATATAAATTTAAATATTTATTCTTAAAAATATAGAGGTGCTCAATATGTTTTCATCTAAAGCTCATGACTGATGCCATGAATATATCTTACATTAGAACTTAGTTTTTGTCTTCGCTGTTTTCATTGTTTTCGCTTATGTTTCCTATTAACAAAACAACATTTTTATTTTGCCATTTTTTTATTATTATGAATGTTATTACTTAAAAAATTAATTTCATGTCTTTCTCTTTTTTATACTTTAATTTTATGTTTTCTATGTTTGTAGTTTTTATTAAAAAAATTAAAATTGTTATATATTATATAAAACCAATAGTTTATTAATACAATTAATTTGAATTTTATTGTCTTATCTTTTAATATTTTTGGTTTTCACTTATCATGTGAACAATAGTTAGACAATAATTCCTAACAGTCCTTTTGATATGCACCATCAAATAATTAAATTTATATTATCAATATGTTTAAGAAACTCAATTATCTATTAATTATGTTAATTGTAACACTTTGTTCATGTAGCTATTTTTTTGAGAGTGAGAGTCAAATTTTCTTCTTTCTTTCTTTCATTTCCTTTTCCTTCCTTTTTTTTAGTTGGCCAAAGCGGTGGGGAAGGTCTCAATTATTGAATTATAGTTTGTCTTCATAATCATACATAGCAAACTGAACTTTTTCCTCTTCTCTTCTCCTTTTGGCAAATTTTGATTCCGTAAAAGGTAAGGGAAGTTTGTATTGGTTGTGTCTTGTTAATTTAATTTGGTGATTCTCTCAAACCCTTTATTTATGAGTATTGTTGCTGGAATTGTGATGGTTGAGTTGTGGGTTTTGAGGGAAGTTGGTTTGGTTCTTGTAATATCTATAAGATAAAGATGAGTTTGATTGGAGTAGTGGAACTTCAATTATGTTGTGTTACATGAAAGATGACGTTGTATGTTAATTGATGGTTACATGTTAAAAATGATGTGTTAACTCCCTTATAGCATATGGTAATTTATGATGTCCTGAGTTGTTATATAATAAATTGTTGATATTTAGATGATGTTAAGAGATAATAATTGATGATGAATACTATTAATATTGAATTGTATATTGTTGATCAATTTGATGAAAGTGAAAATTTGTAAAGTTGCATGTTGTATAAAGTGATCAGACAATGGACATGTGATTGAGATTTATGTCTAAGTTGTGATACACAAATGCTAGAGGTGAATTAAGTCGTTTTAAAGTTGTTTCCTTTGGGGTCTATGTGGTTTTGGTATGGAAGTAGTTGAATCATTTATTAGTTGAATGACTAATTGAGTAAAGTAAGAAGTTAGGGGTCAAAATCTCTAACCTAGTATCAGAGGGTTGTGGTATTTGAAGGGTAGTTAGTGGGTTAATCTCATAGGTAATTTAGTTAAGCTAGCTAATGTCGTGATAGGCCTATACCCAAACTATTATACCTTAACACGATACCATACTTTATTGTTTGAGTGGCAACCTGATAAATCAAACTAAGTTGTCTATACCTGACTCTCTTATGAGAGCAAACGTTGTACTATACCTAACCTAGTTGAGATATGTCTAATGTTGTTATTTGGTATAGACAAGCCACTTAAACTGTTCGTCTATGCAGTAAAAGATCTCCTTAGTTGACATGTGTGATGACGCATTAGTCGTTAATATATGTATGTTGAGATGATTATGAATAAGTTGATAAATGTTAAGCATGGTGTAAGTTGTGAGTTGTCCTATTGTCAATCCATGGTTTTGTTGTTTCAGTTGTATTGTCGTATGTTGTTTCTTTTGTAAACTTACTTTTCTTTTTCCTGTGGTTGAGACTGCGATGACCGTACTTAGTATGCGAGCAGGGCAGGATTAGGCAGTTAGCTTATGAGATGATGATTGCTTTGTATGACTCTTCTGTAGAGCCTTATTTTGGGAGTCCTCAACTAGCTGTATAGAGTAAAAATTGTAGTTATCCAATGAAAATATATATTGTACATGTAATGGATTGGTATATCCCACACATATTTTACTTTATGCATGATTTTACTTTCGCTTTAATGTCGAATTTTCAATAGTAAGTGTGATAACCTGCGAGATTGTTACATTTTTTTTATTTACTCTTGCATATTATATTTCATCATTGATAATGGGGACAAGTACTATATTTTAATATGTTTATCAAAATGTTTTCGTTAGTTATTTGATAATAATGATATTTAAGATATTTTTTTTAAGTTTAATAATCATGTATTAATAATATAAAATAATTTGACATAATTAACTAATAAGATATTATTGTTGGTATAATATTTTAAAAAAACTTATAATATATAGTGATTTTATAATTAAGTGATTCATCCATCACCTTTTCATCTCTTATAAATTTTATCTTTTCAAATTAAAAAACTAAAAACACCTGTAAAAGAATATATATATATATATATATATATATATATATATATATATCATTTTCCAAAATTAATTATTCCAATTGATGAAATAATCCCAAGAATTATGCATGAGGACATAGTATATCCCATATTACATTCCTTTCCATATAGATCTCTAATTGTGTATTAACAACTAGATTAATCGTGAAATATAGTATCTTTAAAAATAGTTTCTAAAAGAATTAAATTTTATGATCTTATTATTTTTTTTCCATATATATATATATATATATTCTTTTGAAAGTCTTACTATATCTTAAAAATTAGTAGTATTAAACTTGCTCATCTTTAATAATGTCTCAAATTCAAGTTTTGTGTATAAAAAAAGTATGTTTGAAAAAAAAGACTTCATCAAAGATTATATCTATATTAATAAATTAATTAATTATCAATAAAATCAATTAATACTTTATATTAATAATATAATTAAAAAAATAGATTACATCTTAAAATAAACTTATATGTGTTTTTAAAGAGCTTATATTATATAAATAAATTCGTTAGCCTATAATAAAGTTTTTCAACCTATTTTTCTCCCATCCTATATATATCACTAATGATAATTTATAATTTGTGTAAGATATTAATTTATAACCTAACTATTTTTCATTGACTTTTTTAGTCTATTTAAGAATATGTCATATTTATGTCAATTATTTAATACTATGAGATAAATTTTAAAAATAGTCAAACTTTCATAAAAGTGAGACCAAACTTTAAAAAAAAATTATAAATTTAAGTACTATGTTAGATTTATACTTAATTAAGCAAAATCTTATTTTGCCCCACTTATTTCCACCCTTGTCAGGATATTTTTGGGCAAATATCAGACTTTAATAAATATATAAACACTTCACATCTATAATTTATATATGAGAAATAATAAGAATACAAATTTAGACACAACTTATTTTAAATACACTCTTAAGATTTACATCCGTTAAAAATTATAAAATTTTGTGAGATACATATTATTATTAATAATTTTCTTTTAAGAGTTTAAATTTTAATAAATAAAAAATGTTAGAAATTAGTCTCTATAAGTCGTAATTTTTTTATTTTTATTTTTTATGTTTTAAGTTATATTTTTTATTCGATAAATCTTTGATAATTTACACATTTAAAGCAATATTAATAATATTTTCACATAGAGGCTAAAGGAAAAATATTTAATGGAATTGGGAGAGGCGGGAACAATGTGACAGACAGCAAAAGGACTAAAGGAGGGGCAGAATGGGAAAAAAAATAAAAAAAGACAAGACAATTCTTTTTATCTGTGTGGAGTGTGGAGTGTGGACTGTTATCTATCTATGCATTCCAATTTCCAAGCAACCTATGTAATGTAAAGCAGAGGATGAAAATGGCTTCCTCTCTGTCAACTTCATCTTTGTGAACAACACAACACACTTATCTCTTCTTTCAACAACACCATGCCTCAGCCTCACTCTCCCTCTTTCCTCTTCTGTCAAGAACAACACCACCATCTCCTCTCTCTCCTCTCCAAAGAGAAACCAACGCATTTCTCTCTCTCACCTCGCCACCACGCCCTACGCTTCATTTCCACGCTCTCCAACTTCCACGCTTTCTCTCCTCTCACCACTGTTCTCGCCGTCAACTACTTTCACCGCTTCGCCGCCACCCTAACGCTTCACATAGACAAGCCCTGGATCACTCACCTCGCCGCACTCGCTTGCGTCTCCCTCGCCGCCAAACTCCACGAGACACACGTGCCGCTTCTTTTCCACCTTCAAGTACGTTTTACTTTCCAACATTCTTCTTTTTTTCGCTAATGTACCATCTTCTTTGTTTCCCACTTTGAAAAGTTTATAAAAAAATTTTTTTGTTGGTTTTGATCAGATGGAGGAATCCGAGTTTGTGTTTGAAGCAAAGACTATTCAGAGAATGGAACTTGTAGTGCTGTCCACTCTCCAATGGAGAATGAACCCTGTTACCCCTGTTTCTTTCTTTCAACATATTCTAACCACCCTTCCTATAATAGACCATCGCGAGTTCTTATGTAGATGCCAACGTGTTCTTCTCTCTGTCATTGCAGGTTTGTAATAATATTGTTAATTAATGAGATACATATAATAAAATAATACATTCATATTCAACTGGGATCAACCAAGTTTGAATTTTTTTTTTCTTCAGATTCTAGGGTTATGAGCTATCTTCCTTCTATATTGGCTGCTGCTATAATGATGCACGTTATTAAGGAGATTGAACCGTTTAATGCAACGGAGTACCGAATTCAGATTATTGGATTATTAAAAAGTAGCGAGGTGTGTCATCTTTACCTTCAATTTTTGAATCTTTCACTTATTTGATGGACTAATTGGAAAATTTTGGTGGTTATATTACAGGAACAAGTGAATGAGTGCTATAAACTCGTTCTGAGACGGTTAGTTTGCTGTGATGACAATGGCATTCACAATCTTGGTCAGAGGTGCAAGCGTTTATCTGAACCATGTAGTCCAGCTGGGATTATTGATGCATCTTTCAGTTGTGAGTGTTCAAGTGACTCATGGACAGTGGCATCGGTTTCAGTGGAGCCAGTGTTTAAGAGGAGCAAAGTTCAGGAGTAGCAGATGCGGTTGCCTTTAGTGAATCGAGTGGCTATTGATGTTCCGAATTCTCGTTGATAACTTGTCTGTGTTACTTATAACATGGTAAGGGTGATATAGATTTGTTTGGAAGCGCATCAAGATATCTGGGAGTATGTTATGGAGGTGAACTACACTGTGTTCTTAGTTTTAAGATTGCTGGCTGAACATTTGTAAATGAATGTGACAGAGAGGATTCATTTCTTCACTTTGTTAAGTGTCCAGTGCAACTGTGCAAAGTTCTATTAAGCATGATATTTCCCAATAAGCACAGTCAAGATATTTCTTTTGTTTCTTAGTTACCCTTCAATCTCTTTCTGTTAGTACAACAGGAGCTAGTTAGCTACATATGGAGGTTAACTGATAAGCAAAGATGGATGGAATGTCTTTAGTGATGCATTATATAAATAAATGAAACTCTTGTGCGTGATCAAACTAGACCCGATAACAAGTCTTCTTTGTATCCCTCCGCGAGACACTCATGGTTTCATGGCAGGAGGGGAACCATAATTTGAGTATTTCCCATATAACATACCGAATTTTCAAGTCTATTTATGCTTTCAGTTATCTCAATCTGTTTATATGGAACCATTTCCTTTGTCTGAATTAGATATTATGATCTTTATGGTCAGAATTGAAAAGCTTTGATTGTAATTCTTTTTTTTCACCCCCCCGGGAGACACTCATGGTTTCATGGCAGGAGGGGAACCATAATTTGAGTATTTCCCATATAACATACCGAATTTTCAAGTCTATTTATGCTTTCAGTTATCTCAATCTGTTTATATGGAACCATTTCCTTTGTCTGAATTAGATATTATGATCTTTATGGTCAGAATTGAAAAGCTTTGATTGTAATTCTTTGTTGGTGTGGCCGAAATTCATGTATGGACAACACTAACCAATGGAATGAATACGGTACACAATTTGGTTCCATTTGAGTCATCCTAATTTCTTGACATTTGGACAAAAAGTTGCTCGTTACTTAATTGAACTTTCAGTTCTACATTCTATTTCATGAATATATATCTGTTGTCAATTATCGGAGAAAAAAACTACAATTCAAGGTGTGAATGTTCCAATAGTCGTTTAGTCAGATCAACTTTTTTTATTTCCTGTTTGACAGAGTATGAACATGGGACTTTAAGGGTTTGTTTGGATTTGAGGATGGAAAAGGGGGAGTGGAAAAGGAGAGATTTGAAGGGAAAGTGAGTGGAAAGTGAGGTTGTTTGGATTAAGAGAAAGTGAGTGGAAAGTGTAGAGAAAGTTTGTGAATGAATTGATTGATGTGATAGATAAAAATAAATTTTTTAATTGATAATTGTGTAAGATTACTATTTTGCCTTTAGGTTAAAAAAGTTTATAATTATTATAATTAAAAGATAAATATATAAATTTTAACTAAAAAATTATAAAATATTAAATTAAAAATAATTTAATTTAAATATTTGCTTTAAATTTAATAATAGATAAAAATAAAAAATTTAATAGATGAATATATAATTTACACTTTTACTCTTGAATTAAAAATGAGTATAATATTATTTATTGTAAATAATAATAATTACAATAAAATTATATTAATAGGTATAATTTATTAAAAAAATAATAAATAATAATAAGAATAATAATAAATATTGGAAAAATAATATTAATTATAATAAATAATAATAATAATATTAATAAAAATGAAAATAATAATAATAAATCATTTTTTATTCGTAAATTTGATACCCAGAGCGTCCCGATCTCATATCAGAACGGGCCGTTCTAGGGTTACAAATTAACCCACAATGCCCATCTATGAAACGGCCCGTTCTGACTTCGCATATTGCTCATAAAATGCATTTTTGGAACGGGCCGTTCTGGGTTCCACTGGCAGCGAAAATACCCAGCATAATCGATTATGCTTGGTTCGTATATGCTTCCTCTACTGCATGGCACACTACGCATGC